GTCTACAAGAGCTAGTTCTAGGGCAGCTAGGGCTACACAGAGAAACCCTGTCACAAAAAAACAAAAACAACAACAAAAATCAAATAAGGTTGCTACAGACTAAACTGTAAAAAGATAAAATAAGACTTCAAAAACTATATAGATATATGGCTATATATCTATATAAGATCTTATGAAGGAAAATTATATAAGTAAAGGATGCAACTTGAGTAAAAAGCATGTTTAGTATGTTTTCATAAGGGCAACTTAATTCCTTAAAAACAGACAGCAGTGTTTTTCCAGAGATAGCCTCAAGTCTAACTTAGCAACAAGAATAGGTTTGAGGGTTCCACTTTAAACCTGTCCAGTAGAAAGCCTGAGGACATGGCCCAGGGATCTGAAGCCTGGAAAATTCTCAAGGTGGTTCTTCCACATCCTGAAGTTTGAGAAACCCAACTTAGGAAGAGGCCATAACCTGGGCTGGCTACAGAATCACTGAGAATTTTAGAATGTTCAGGTGTCCAGACTGTACCCTAGATGAACTACATCAGAATTTCTGGGTGGGACACTGATACATCAGCATTTAAAAAAAAGCATGTATGTGTACCCATATGTGCACGGGCACATCTGTACATGTGTGCATGTAGAGGCCAGAGGTTGGCATTAAGTGTTTCCCTTGGTCCTGCTCCACCTTATTTTTTGACACAGGTCTTTCACTGAGCCTGGAACTCACTGATGCAGCTAGGCTAGCTGGACGTTAAGCTCCGGGGATTTGTCACTGCTTGTTCCAGAACTGGGATTACAGGAGCATGCATCCTCACCTGACATTTTACGTGGGTTCTGGACTCAGGCTCTCACGCTTACCTTACACAGCAATCACTTTACTAACTGAGCTATCTCTCCAGGCCCTGCATCAGCATTTTAAAAGACTACTATGCAGTGAGGTTGAGGCACTCATCCTAGGCAGAGCCTTGTGCCAAGAGGTCTGTGGGTCCGACTGGCCTTCCCTGGGTGAACATTTCCCTCTGGTGTACCTTGGTGGAAATCAGGCTTTATTCCAGTTACAGAAGACATGATCTTCTTCCTTAGGTAGAATTAAAACTTTCTCATTGGTACCCTCGAACCCTGGTTGGCATATAGCAGGGCTTGGTGGTCACTTTATTCTGTAAATTAAACCATATGAAACTAAAGGGAATTTATCAATATGTAGGTGAATAAACTTTTCACTAAGCCCTAAAAATCCCATACGATCAAAAACCTTGGCACAGAATTCAGTTATGAAACATACAAACAGTACGGAACAAAGCCCTTCTCTTCGAGTGCTCATGAGATGGGGAGATGTGGGCAAACATATTTGACAAGCAAGCAAAGACCAAAGAGTTCATATAGTACACTGTGATTGGAAAGGAAGGAATCATTCTGAAAGACAGGACCAAGGAAGGTGTTGAAGGGTCAGTATCTCAGGTTGTCTTGAGGTATTGCTAGGACTTAGGAAGTAGAAAATTAGGGAATGTGTAGTTGGTGCATAGAGAGAGAGCCGAGTCAGATGGGCCTTCTCCCTCACCTTCATTCAAGGCTGGAAGGCAGACACCAAAGGCTCTTTTTTCTTTCTGATTTCCTCTTACTGCTTTCAGTTTTCAAGTATTTTGCCTCTGGTTTATTAATTCCACCTCCCAGAGCCTCTACTGATTTCATCTAGGAAGAGTTTGTCATTAGCATTTCTTCAGGGAGCACCTGCTACCACATCCATCCCTATTTAGCTGACAGCCAGGGCAATGGGGTTGACTGGGAGGAGAATTTTAATCCCTTCCTTGTGACTCATCTATTTCCTAATCGAGGATGCTGGGTAGAATGTCACAAAAATGACTTCCCAATAAAATCCACCTTTAAGACACGGTCCTCGATTTTATAGCATCATCTATGTAAAAAGAATATATTATAATTTTATCAACCTCATGATTATGAATAATGACAAAGATAGCTCAGACACCATTTGAGTGCAAAAATCCCAGGCAAGTGTGATGGGTTATGAATCAGATGAGCTGCTGAACAGGACAATGTCTCAAAAACCAGAGTCAGCCAGGAAAGAAGATGTTATTTACTGACTGTTATTTAGCATATGTATGATTCTGCATATCAAATGTACATCACATTACAGACCAGTATATGATGATGATAATGGATCATACATCTTTTTCTCTCTACTAAAGGAAACTGCTCACATGGCTGTCATATGATGTATGTCACTTGTAAAGCCCAAGAGAGAAACCAGCTGCTATGGAGTAAACATATGATGATTTATGGAGAGTGGCAGAAGAAAAGGTTTTAGAAATCAAATTGTCATCGACATGGAACCTAATTTGGTTTCTATGGTGATATTAGGCCACTCTGCAGTAATGTGGAGCATACTTAAATTAAGGATCTATCCAGAATCATAGCAATAAAAGGAATGTCAGACAATAGGCAGGGAAAAAAAAACCAAGTTCCAGATAGGCCTATATATCCCAAACATTTTTCTCTACAGTATATTTATGTTAATTTATAGAATATACTACTTCCTCACAGACACTTTCACCCAAAGTCCATCATTTTTCTAGACTCGATTAGTGTTTCTTCTGCAACAACAACAACAACAGAAACAAAGTAAATTTCACAACAAATTTGTCATAAATTCAAATCGCTCATTAAAGAAGTGTCTGTCTTTTAGCAAGGCTCATTTAATGTTTCAAAATACAGCAAAAGGGAACAAATGGCCATAAAGTCATATGTATGTATTTTATAGAAAAGGTTATTTAAAAAAATTGAGACACTCAAAGATTGTCCCTGGTAGGTTGATAGACTTCTGGTAGGTGGTAAAGGTGATCATTCTCACAGACATCAAGAGAATTGTGTCCCCTACTCAGTCTAACCATCCAGCATTTGTGTCATGAGAAACATGCAGCAGGGCGTGGCTACTACAGGTAAGGGTGTTGTGGGAAATTGCTATGTGGAACAAAGGCACAGAATAACATTTGGAGTGAGGTGCCTCTGACGGCCATGCTCATTTTCTGACCGTTTGGCTCAGCTTCCACAAACAGAACAACCCCAGCCAGCTCAGAAACCTAAAATGAGAGTGATCGCTCGAGGCAGTGTGGGAACCTTGGACTGGCATGATCTCTGTGAAGGTGAGGAAGGTCCTGCCAGGTGGTTGGTAAAGTTCCACCCGCCAGAGTAGGGCGAATAGAAACAGGAAGATGAAAGAGTCGGGAATCCTGTGTCAGGCTACCCACAGGCTTCTCAGATAACGGGCCAGGACTTGTGAACAAGGAAGCCATGGCAGAACTAGAAAAGCATGTCTGTCTTTGTGGGCTTTTAAATGCTCCTGCTTGTCCATTCCCTTCTCTCCATTACTATAAACATTATTGTGAAAACCCCGCTTCTCTGGGGCTGTCCAAGGAGAGGGAGCTTCGTCCCTGCTTGACCCAGAGCTTTGAAAGGGTGTGATATACCACTCCTGGGAGACCAGTATGGTTGTGACACCAGTTAACCCAGAGAGAGAGAGAGCTAGTGGGAGGCAGAACTCAGGAAGACATAGAATTCTGGGGCAGGGGTCTGATTTTGTCTTAACAAGAGAGTTCTGTATCTGACAGTCTTCTGCTGTGTGTGGAGTGCTGGCCATGTCCACTTAACAAGGCCATAATTCTGACCTGAGGCCACAGATAGTGCTGGCAGAAGACAATGACTCTGTAGCCCTTGCTACCACACCTGCAGGGAAAAGGCACCTAACTAACTATGGCAAGGATGAAGGCCCCAAGCAGCCACACCTAAACAACACTAACTCACTCACTCATCACGCACACCTTCTTCCTCAAAACCCCAAGTTTGGTGTTATATGTTCAAGTCAATCAGGATCTATCACGTAATTGATGTTGGTTGGAACACAAAGGCCTGAGAGCTAAACATTCAGAAATACACACTGGATGGATGAAGGGTGACAGAGTCAGCTGGAAGGCCACAAATGCAGCACAGAATTCTAGGTGTGTGTGTGTGTGTGTGTGTGTGTGTGTGTGTGTGTAAAATGGGGGACCTTTCCATCCTTAAACACATTCATTTACAAGGAATGTGCCAGAGAGGATAAGAAACACATCTACTGAACACAGACGGAGAAGGGAGCTTCCTCGCTAGGGAAGAGGGCTGTTGAGATCTAGGAAGCAGAAACTAGAATAAGGCAGCATCATGTAGAAGATTATAATGGAAACAAAAAACTCCTACTATGTGCCAGGCATGGCCAGTCCTCATGAGTCACCTCTCTCGATCCTCCCAACAGCTAGCACAATGAGTGTCACATAGTCAAAACTATACAGAAAATGTCACTTTACATCAGTACTTGTGTGGACAGTCCTAAGATAACTACTATTGATTACATCTTACAGGTAAGATCTTGAGGTGCAGGAAGGTCAAGAAGCTGGGCTAATGTGTCAAAGCTACTGAAGAAGCAGGAGGAAAATGACTTCCAAGTACCCGCGGTTGAGAAGGAGGCATTTTCCAAGGATGTGTGAGGAATGCAGAGATGGGTGTGGCGCTTGAGTGTCTGCCGGGGACTGGGAGAATCCAGCTGAGGCCAAGAGAAAGAAATGGACTAGGGAGGAGAGAGGATTGCTTGGGTGACAGTGGAGCCAACTGGGAGAGGGAGGGCAGGGCAGTATCCAGGCTAAGGCAGCAGGTGGATTGGGTGGGGCAGGAGGAAAGCACACTTAAGCTGAAGGAAACTGGCAAGGTCTCTGGGGCAGGTAGGGTGCTGAGCTAGGCAGCAAGGAGGGCAGTGTGGTTTAGGGGTGGCACAAAGAACAAGCTGGGAAGACCAGGGTGGAAAATGTTAAGGGCTTTCCAAGGGGCAGGGCAGAGAAGTCTGGGCTGTGAGGGTTCTGGAATGTGGCTAGGAAGAGGGCATGGTCTGGCACTGGAGAGGAGGCTGAAGGAGAAGCTTTCAGTGGGGAAAAGAGGATGAGGGTGACCAGAGTCACCTGCTGCCCCTGTCTCACCTGTAGGAGCTGCTCACTGTATTCGTCACCTCCTCTCGGATTTGCCTATTGAGGGCATCTGCCACGGCGCGCCCTTTGCCACCTTCGAGCCCTGCGGCTTGGGCATAGGCAGTGGTTGTTTGCTCGTGCCCCTCAGAGCGATGCACCATCCAGGCCGGCCCCGCCTTCCTGCGTGTGTCACGCTCGTCTGCTCCAGAGGCCTTGCCAGCTGCAGGGCCACCCTCCTGGGTCAGGGACTGGGCCGGGGGCAGCGGTTTTTCTTCGTGCCCTTCGGTGCGAGTCACCATCCATGCCGGCCCCGCCTTCCTGCGTGTGTCACTCTGGTCTGCACCAGAGGCCTTGCCAGCTGCAGGGCCGCCCTCCTGGGTCAGGGACTGGGCCGGGGGCAGCGGTTTTTCTTCGTGCCCTTCGGTGCGAGTCACCATCCACGCGGGCCCGGCCTTCCTGCGCGTGTCACGCTGGTCTGCACCAGAGGCCTTGCCAGCTGCAGGGCCGCCCTCCTGGGTCAGGGACTGGGCCGGGGGCAGCGGTTTTTCCTCGTGCCCTTCGGTGCGAGTCACCATCCAGGCCGGCCCCGCCTTCCTGCGTGTGTCACTCTGGTCTGCACCAGAGGCCTTGCCAGCTGCAGGGCCACCCTCCTGGGTCAGGGACTGGGCCGGAGGCAGAGGCGTCTCCTCGTGCCCTTCGGTGCGAGTCACCATCCACGCGGGCCCGGCCTTCCTGCGCGTGTCACGCTGGTCTGCACCAGAGGCCTTGCCAGCTGCAGGGCCGCCCTCCTGGGTCAGGGACTGGGCCGGGGGCAGCGGTTTTTCTTCGTGCCCTTCGGTGCGAGTCACCATCCATGCCGGCCCCGCCTTCCTGCGTGTGTCACTCTGGTCTGCTCCAGAGGCCTTGCCAGCTGCAGGGCCGCCCTCCTGGGTCAGGGACTGGGCCGGGGGCAGCGGTTTTTCTTCGTGCCCTTCGGTGCGAGTCACCATCCATGCCGGCCCCGCCTTCCTGCGTGTGTCACGCTCGTCTGCTCCAGAGGCCTTGCCAGCTGCAGGGCCACCCTCCTGGGTCAGGGACTGGGCCGGGGGCAGAGGCTTCTCCTCGTGCCCTTCGGTGCGAGTCACCATCCAGGCCGGCCCCGCCTTCCTGCGTGTGTCACGCTGGTCTGCACCAGAGGCCTTGCCAGCTGCAGGGCCACCCTCCTGGGTCAGGGACTGGGCCGGAGGCAGAGGCGTCTCCTCGTGCCCTTCGGTGCGAGTCACCATCCACGCGGGCCCGGCCTTCCTGCGTGTGTCGCGCAGGTCTGCAACAGAGGCCTTGCCAGCTGCAGGGCCGCCCTCCTGGGTCAGGGACTGGGCCGGGGGCAGCGGTTTTTCCTCGTGCCCTTCGGTGCGAGTCACCATCCAGGCGGGCCCGGCCCTCCTGCGTGTGTCGCGCAGGTCTGCTCCGGACGCCTTTCCTGCCGCCGGCACCCCGGCTCCTCCAGCGCCTTCCGGGTCCCGGGCTTCCGCAGAGGTCTGCATGATCCCGCGCTCTTGGCTCTGCGGCCGACGCTTGGGCACCCCAAGAACAGATGGGGAAGGTTGCGAAGTCGAAGGAATCTGCACCGGCTTGGGGATCCAGGGGTGGTCCCCGCGGCGAGGGAGGGGCCAGGCGCGGAAGTCCTTCTGGTACTGGGTCTCGCGCTCGAAGGGCGCGTCGGACGGCTGGTACTCGCTGCGCGGCCGGCAGCTGGGCTCTGGCCGCTGCACCTTCCAAGCGCGGTAGTCCTGTCGCATCACCGAGTCCGCGGGGCCTGAGCCGGAAGTAGAGCCCGAGGCCGCGCCCAGACCCAGCCCGCTCCGGCCGGGGGCGGTTGCAGTCTCCCGGTCGCCGCTGGGCCTAGGCGCCGGCCCTGTTGCCCGGGCAACTACATCCGACTCGCCCTGGGCCGGCTGCGTCTCTATGGCGACAGCCCGCGAGGGGGGCGCTATCGCTGACTGCAGCGGCGCTGGCGGCTGCGGCGGGGCTCCTGGATGATCCGTGGCCTCTGAGTACTTAGTGAAAACCAGCGGCACCGCAATGTCCGCCTTGTCCAGCTGGTTCCAGAAGCGGGCGATGCAGCAGGCCCTTGTGATGCACGGCCACGCCATGATGCTTGGTGTAAAACCGGTCCTCTCTCTTTTGGTAGTCCTAAATCAAACCTCTGATCTCCCTTTAACCCCAACCCAGACCCGCCAATGTGGTTCCCACCGCTTCCTCCCCCTAGCAGCTGTTTGCCTTGTCCTCCTCCCTCAGAGAGCACCCGGAGACGAGGTATAGCAGAGATAAAGTCCTTAAAGTCCCTCGATTACCAGCTGCAAACGCCTTCGGCAGGACCTGCGGTGGCCGGTGACGAATGGGAGCGAGGCGCGGCGACGTCCCAGAGTACAGGCCTAGGGCGTCTGGGCGCGCCCTCCCTGCGGCTACGGTGTCGCGGAGACCCCAGCCGAGCGAGGAGATGCTTGGCAAGGAGGCTGAGGGCTTAAGCCATGGCGCAGAGAGAGAGAGCTGGGCAGAATCCGCAAACAGGCTCGTGTCTCCTTTCCGTCCGGTTCTAGTTGACCGCCTAGCAGGGCTCGGCAGCGGTCACCTCCAACCCAGACAGAGCAGAGAGCACAGTTGCCTCTACCCTATTGATACCCCTGGTGATGCTGCAGCCGCTGCCGCCGCCGTCTCTGCTGCAGAGAGGCGGCCCCACCCTTTTTTGCGGCTCAGCAGGGGCGGGGGTGATCAAGAAAAGATGCTGAGAGTGTGCGCGCTGCAGAAAAAAATCACCTGCTGTCGTCAGTGCGCGCTGCTGAGAGGTTGCCCTCTCCCTATCCCCTCCTCCTTTCTCTCCAGCAGCTCCTCCCTCTGTTCCCAGGCAACAGCAGAACTGGGTCCTTGGTAGGTTCAAGTCTCAAGCTCTGGAGGCCTTGCTGTCCTTGGGTTGCTGGCTTCACATCCTGGATCCAGCCCCTGGAAGAGTGCATGTATTAAATTAAAAAGTATAGAAACGACCTTCCCATTGAAATGTCTGTGTCCGAATAGATGCTTTGTTCATTTTTTAATTTTTATTTTATTTTTAATTATGTGCTTGCGTCTATGTATGCGTATATGCTCGAGGGAGTGGGTGCCTGTTGAGGCCAGAAGGCCAGAGGTGTCTAGCTCCGCTGGTGTTGGAGTTATGGTTGTTATGAGCTCCCATCCCACCCTGTGTGAGTAGTGGGACTCAAACTCGGGTCCTCTGAAACATCAAAGTTTTTAACCACTCAGCTATTTGTTCAGCCCCTGAACTGATACTTTAAAAAGGGAGGCTGCTGTTAGTGGTCAGTCACAAGGCTGTACTTACACTCAGTGCTGCTGGCTCCTTACCTGAACCACGCCTGTCCATATATAGGGCTTCCCCAGGCAGACGAGATTGGGAGATGCAGACCCAATGGCACTCTGGCTGCTCCTTTTCTAAGCAATCCTTGAGAAGCTGTGCTCTCTACCCTCTCAGGGAAAAACTCGTTCTTCAGTCCAGAGGCTGCAATGGGGGAAAGGAAGATTCTGGAAAGGGGTTTAAGGAGGGAGGGAAACGGTCGGGCAGGAGAGAGTTCCTTAGGAAACGGCAAGAACTGCCCTAAAGGGACCCTATGCTGTGTTCTCGCCTTACTTTCTACTTTGGAGCGAACAGATTTGGGGGTCTAATGAACCTGGTTTGACTCTGATAGTCTCTTTGTGACTTGGGTGGTCTCCTGCTGTAGTCGCCTGGAGAGGAACGGAGGAGCTAACAGGTGTCTCGGTTTCCTGAGGACGGTTAAGTGCTCCCAGCAGACACCTGTGAGCAGTCCAATCAGATATTCAGGGATTTAGATCCTGGCTTCTGGATTTCTGACTGCAAGGTCATGGGCAAATCGTGGCAGCCTTCTGACCCTTAATGTCGTTTCTGAATGAGGGTATCTATTCTGAACTTGCAAAGTTATTCTAAACGCTAAAATGACCCAATGCACTGGAGATATTTAGCTGCAGCACCTGGCATATGATAATGGCTCCTTCAGCTGCTACTGTTAATATTCAAAAGGCTGGTCCAGAAGACCCACAGGCAGGACCTGGAGAATAGGCCCCTTAGAAGCCTGCTCCAGGACACCCCTTGCTTCTTTGTTAAAAAAAAATCATTTTTAAAAACTGTCTTTGCTTTTAATTAAATTAATTTATATATGTAGGTGATATGTATGTACATGTCCAAGGGAGGACATTTGGGTATTCTGCTCTATCAATCGCTACCTTTTTCTCTTGAGACAAGGTTTCCCTCTGAACTGGGGCTAGGCTGACTGGTCAGCAAACCTCCTTAAATTCTTCTGGCTCTGCCCCTCACAATGCCTGCCAGGGTCCCAGGTACTTGCCTGGCCACACTCTGATTTTTACTTCACTGCACAGGATTCCAACTCATGTTCTCCTGCTTGCACAGCAAGAAAACTGTACCAGGAGGCCAGAATTCTAGGAAGAAAGAGCACATTGTCCCCAGATCTGTCCCACTGATTTAACCCTTAAGAAGGAGACAAGATCATGTTCTTCATGATACAGGTTAGGTCAAAAAGTAAGCAGTGTTTCAGGTTAGAACTGACCTAGTCTAGTAATAAGCCCTAAGGACTCTTCCTATATTTCCTTAGCTTGGTATCTCATTTCTTTTTTCCTGGGCTAAGTAATTTTTTATACTTATTTATAGTTTATTTATCCATTCACCTACTGAATGGCATGCTGGTTGCTTCAATGTTTGAGGAATTATAAATAAAGCTGCTAAAACAGTGTATATGTTTTTCTACTAACATAAGCTTTGGATTCGTTTGGGTAATTATTGAGGCACAGGAGTGGGAGCCCATGGCCAAAGGATGGTTAGTTTTGTAACAAAGCAAACTGTCTTCCACTGTGATTGTACCAGTTTTGAGTTCTCTGTATTAACAAATGGGAGATCCTGTCTCTCCACTCCTTGCTGGTGTTTGGTGCTGCCTGTAGTTCTGTTTCATTGTTGCTTTAATTTGCAAGTCTCTAGCAACATACTATATTGAGCATTTTTCTTATGCCATTTTTCCCAGGTACAACTTCTTTGGCGAGGGATCTGTTCAAGGGTTGTCTTTCAGCCTCCACATGCATGCTATGGCACGCACTCACGAACGCATGCACACACACATGCACGCACACACAATAAATGTAAAAATCTAATAATAGTGTTTATCCTAGGAGTGAGCACTGGTTTAATAGCAAAACTCTGTACATATAATTCCACCCACAACAGAATAAAATGAAAGAGCATACATCATCTCAAAAGTATTATCATATTTGACACCCAATAATCAGTTCTGAAAATATGCTGGAGGGTAGACTTTCCCTAATACATCAAGGACACCTACCCTGCTCTATGCTTTATTGTGAATTGCTGGGCTCTTTCCTTCTGCTACCACCAACATGGGACACAGTCACAAGGCTTTGGTGATGAAGCTATGTATGTCTTGGAGGATTCACAGAACTGCTGCTGAGGCTGCCATGAGATCAGAGATAGGAAAGAAAGAAAGCAGAATAATGTCATCTTTGAATCCTGAAATCAGAATTAAAAAAATGATAGTATTTTAGGGTTGTAAAACATTTATTTGAAGTCCTAGAGTATCAATGTAATGAAATGACAGAGTTTCAGAATCATAAACTAAATAAATATTAAATATTAGGTTAAATACGAGAAAATAGAAATCTCAGACTCATACACACATGTACATAATAAACACATGCACACTTCTTCACTGGTTGTTGCTATAGGCTATCAAAGACTGAATGTATGTGTCCACCAAACACATATGTTGCTAAAAACCCTAACACTAAGGAGCTAATATTAGGGAAAATATAGAGAGGTCATGAGGGCCGACCCCCATTCCTTCAGATAAATACCCTTATAAGAAGAGGAAGAGCGGGCAGGCAGTGGTGGCGCACGCCTTTAATCCCAGCACTCGGGAGGCAGAGGTAGGCGGATCTCTGTGAGTTCGAGGCTGAGCTGGACCGATAGCCTCCAAAACAATACAGAGAAACCCTGTCTCGTAAAAACCAAAAAAAAAAAAAAAAAAAAAAAAGGAAGAGGCCAGAATTACGAGTTCGCAGCATCTGGAAAGCAGGAAATGGGTCCTCACCAGACACCACTGCTGTCAGTGCTTTGATCTTGTACTTCCCAGGCCCTGGAACTGTGGGAAATGAACACATGTTGTTTCGACTCTGGGCCTATAGTGTTTTTATGTAAACCCCAAAGAGGCTAAGATAGACAGTGAACATGTCTTCTTTTTATTGAACTAAAAGAAAAAGTTCCTTTAGACCACATGAGAACATTTTGAAGACATTTTTTTTGAAAAGTGTAAAGTCCTCAGATTTCTAAGTATTCTGTCACTCATCATCAGGTCCAAATATTACATTAAGCAAGATCACATGATACTGCGTGACTCTTTAGTTACTCATGGAATTTTCATCTGTTAATTTTAACAACTATTGATGTCTCTTGTCTAGAACACATATCACAATAATGTTTGTCAAATGGTGATTTTTCTGAATCCACTTTTCCTTCTACATTTACTATCTGGAGTCTTCACTTATAACACTATGGATTCAGGGATATTTCTCTTGTGGGTTTAATACATTATTTCATTTTTATTTTGAGGATTATATTGTTCAGATTTTGCAAGTGGGAGTCCTTGGTGATGGCTCTGAGACACCTTTAAGAGCATGGCCCAGATACATTTTAAATTCCATCCTAAACATACTCCTTGCCTGCCTTCCTCCGATGTTGCCATCATGTGGAAGAAAGTATAAATGCATGTTTTGTACAGACTTGACTTGGGTGTCACTGGACTTTCCATGTGTTTTGTTCGTGTGTCTTTCAGTACTGTCCTATGACACTCATTCCATCTATGATTGACATCACAGAGGTCATAGAACTAACTGCTCCATCACCACGCCGCCTCTTCTTCAGCACACCCTCCCGGATCACCTTGATTTCTCCAGCAACTACTGGTTTAGTCTCTGAAGTCCTGGCATTTGAGAGTTTTACATAGATGCAATTATGGCACAGGTTTTCCTGGAGGTTGTCTTTTTTCTTTCACTTAATTTGTAAAAATTTATCCAAACTGTTGCACGTTCCATTTTGTGGACAAGTAGTATTCCATTGTCTAGATATGCTGTTCTCTTTTTTTGTAAAAGAACATTTGAGCTGTTTCTATTTGGGATTTTTGTTTGTTTGTTTTTTGAGACAGGGTTTCTCTGTGTCTTTAGAGGCTGCCCTGGAACTAGCTCTTGTAGACCAGGCTGGTCTTGAACTCACAGAGATCCTGAGTGCTGGGATTAAAGGTGCGTGTCACCAATGCCTTGCTTCTATTTAGGAATATTAAAACATTATACTTTTATTAATTCTATGTACAAGTATTCTATTTATTTCTCTATTTGTTTCTCATGAGCACAGATACTAAGTTCTATAGCATGCATGTTTAACTTTTAAAAACAGCCAGACTGATTTCCAGTGGCTCTACTATTTTACATTTTCATCAGCAATGAATGACAGATCCAGTTTCCTTATACACTTGAAAGGCACCAGTGGTGTGTGTGTGTGTGTGTGTGTGTGTGTGTGTGTGTGTGTGTGTGTGATTTTTCAAAACAGGGTTTTCTCTGTGCAACAGTCCTGGCTGTAACTCACTTTGTAGACAAGGCTGACCTCAAACTCACCGAGATCTGCCTGTCCTTACCTCCCT